AAAAAAGAGGTATTCTAGTTGTAAGATATCTAATGAAACAATAGCTAGAATTGAGATTTGATTCAAAGAGAAAGATATCAAATATCTGGAGTTTCTTTTTGTATCCTATACGGATACGGATGATCTGATCTGCAAGGACCATGATTTGGAATTGTTTGATTGTCTTTCTCTAGGGATTAAGCAAAATCCTTAACGGAACTGGGGGAGTCCATATGAATTGGGCCAATTCTCTCTTCTGACAAGAAATCGGGTCAGTTTGGACCGATTCCCAGTTCAATCAGTGGTTCATGATTTGGATTGCTAGTTTTTACAACACTGATCTTTAGTGATAGGTGTTTATGTTCGAAAATTTCGCCAAAGACTGCGATCCCCTCCTGGTTCTCGAGCTTAAACTCGTCGAAAGAGGGACTAATAGAGAATGGATCCTTTTAAATCACAATACGGGCGAGAGACTGGCCACAAGACTGCCCTCGCTCGAATCGTCGACAATGTCAGCTTTTGAGACCGCAGAATTGGAAAACCGCGTGGAAGCTTTGAAAGGGTGGAAGAGGGGACGTGATTTGGAAAGAGTTTAGAAAATAGAGCGAAATGAATAAACGAAAGAGAAGATGACAACGTACCAGAAGCTAGGCCCCCAGGCCCGAGACCTGGATTCAGTGCCAGTTAAAAAATAGTATAGATGCAATGACTTTCTCCAATCCTTAGGGAGTCCACCAGGAGAGGTGATCGAAGGCTAATGAGCTCAAAGAGTTTTGAAAATACGAGGTTTAGGTGATAAGGATGGAGTTTTAGAGAGTGAGAGATATAGAGTTTGGGTTTTAGAGAGAGATGAAGTTTTAAAGAGAGAGAGAGAAGGCGATTTGAGTTTTAAGGAGAGAGATGGAGTTTAGATAGAGATGATGATGTGAGAGTGAGAGATAGAATTTGGGTTTTAGAGATAAGGATTTTTGAGATAGAGATATGTAGTTTTAGAGAGAGAGAGGTGGAGTCATTTTATAGGTTGTTGAGGTCATCAATACATTATCAAAAAAGTTTAAGGGGTTGAAAGATAGAAAAAAATGAAGTGCTTTACAAAATAACATTTTCAATTAACAAGTCTAAGGAAATATATAAAGTAAAAATGAAAGATCATATGATATTTTTCTTTTATTATTGTATCCGTACGTCATGTGGTTGAGCTAAACTGTTTTGATTTTTTTATGGATTTTTAGGGTGAAAATAAGTCATTCCAAGACCATAAATGAAGGAAAAGGACTTCGTGAAAATTTGGGACAGCAGACGCGCCCGAGAACGTTAATTCGGTCAAGATTGGGAATTCAATATTTATAAGGGTACTTTGTTGATTCAGGAAAAGGGTAAGTTCAAATTTACGTTAATACTGCTTATTTAAATAGGCCATAAAAAGAAAAAGACAAAATTACAAACTAGTTAAGATGAAAATATTTTTTTCTGAAATGTTTTTTTTGAAGAGATGGGAGGTGTCATATCTGTCGGGTGGCGGGGAATCATTTCTCTCTGCAAAAATTAAATTAACATAATTAAAATAGATAAAAAGGACAGTATTCTTTTAATAAAATAAATAACTAAATAAATATTTAATCGAATAAAATGACCACTATAATAAGTCTTCTTCACTCTACATAACGGTCCAAAATTAAATAATATCGAAGTATGAAACCTTAATTTTCTTAAATTCCCTAATTTTCTCTAATTTTGAGATACCCCCATAATTTTCCAAAGGGTGCGATTTGTATAGAGCCTCGGTTCTAAACAATCAAATTAGAGCCTACCTTCAAATAGTATTGAGAAATGTGGTTTCAATACTCGAAAATTTTTTGATAGCCTTAAAATATATTTTCATCTTTATTTATAAAATTTAAGGCTTAAAAAATAGTATAGATCGAGAGATCTATAAAACTCAAAAATCTTGAAAATTGACGGTCCAAAAATACGTTACAAAATACATTATTTCCAAAACTTGAAATCCATTTCTTTCTTAAATCCATGCATTTTGATGTTGAGATGATCAATTTGGGGATATTTGAGCATCAAAACAACTTCTTCTAGTGAAATTTTTGATATAGGCTCTAATTTGATTGAATAGAGCCTTGGCTCTAAATATACTTTTCCCTATTCAAAATGACAGAGCAAAGTTTCTCTTCCTGATTCCTGAGCAAGGCCTAAACATGAATCGGGGCTTCAGCTTGAGTAATTGGTAGCTGAACTTCATAAGCGTTAAATTTCAAGTTCCTTTTAATCAAAAGGTTTTTTTTTTTTAACATATTAAAAGAAAATATGAAAAAATGTATCTCCATTAACTACCAAAAGGGAAACTTTCCGTCTACCACAATTGGCTAGAGTCTTTCTATTTCCATCAAATCCGGTGCCGTTTACATACTTGAGACTGTAATCGCATATCCAACTTCTGAACGTGACTGTCAACTCATTCTTCTACCTGATAGACTGACCTACTGCCGCCACAAGAATCTATATTTGTGAATCCATGTCTGTGACTGAGACCTATTAAGCACATAAATTGATTTTAAGATCGAATTCGATGAGGAAACTATGATTTTCGATGGGGTTGTAAGCCTTAGCCCTAAATTTTAATCGGAAAGCCGCAGCCTGACCTCCCTATAGCTAGTTGTAGAGTTGGATGGACCTTTAATTCCAGGGCTATTGTGAGGACAACATAGTATTTTTAAGACAAAAACTAAAATGGAATTGTTGGAAAAGTTGTGCGCCATTGCAATTTTTCTCCCTAGATTAACGACAGAGTCTATACTCTATAGTGTACAGATCTAAGTTTTTTACTTTGTGAAAAATTGAAAAGTAAAAAATTTGAGAGGTTTTAAAAGTTTCTTTGAACAGGAGATATCTTTACGTCCTTGCGGGCGGCTATTACATATACGGGATGTTGGAATAGGAGCCCTACAGTAAAATGGCAACTTTGCCCCTGGAACTCAACTTCTTTAGGTACATTTGCCGATAATCGTTCGTGTAAATGTACCATTATGCCCTCATTGACATTAGTTGTTTCTACGTTCTACCCCACCCCACAGTTCATAATGGGAAAGAGGAATATATATGGGGTGCGGTTTGGACAGTGCCCAGGTTCTAATCAATCAAAATAAAATACGTCTTCAAATAGCATCAAAAAATGTAGTTTCAATATTGAAAATCTTTGTGATAGCCTTAAAATATGTTTTCATCTTTAATTATAAAATTTAAAGCTTAAAAATAGAGTAGATCGAACGGATCCATGAAATCTTGAAAATTGACGGTCCAAAAACACATTATAAGATACACTATTTTTAAAACTTGAAATCCATTTTTTCTTATATCTATGGATCTTGATGTCGAGATGATCAATTTAAAGATATTTGGGCATCAAAACAACTTTTTCTAAAAAAAATTTTGATGTGGACTCTAGTTTGATTGTTTTGAGCCTTGGCTCTATATAAACTTCATCCCTATAATTATGGAGCATTGTTTTAAAAAATGCCGAGTTGCATACAATCGAAAGGTAATTTGGTCCATGGCTCCTAGAATGACCTAATTTCCACCTCTCGGCCTATCCAGATGGCATTATCCAGATCAGATTCCCAAGGCTAGATTCAAGAAATTGGTCCCCAATTTTAAAACACTACTAGGGATGGCCATGGGCTCGATGGCCCAACCCTAAAAAAAACTAGGACTTGGCAATAAAATGCAGGGCAAGAGCCAAATTGGGGTGATCCACAATTGGCTCCATCCCGGCCCTATTTTTCCTTTATTTTTCTTTCCGATATATTTTCTTTTATTTGGACTGCCCTGGACTTGATAGGGGCCAAAGTAGCCGGGGCATCTTTGAACCGGTCAAGTCGGTTTGGAGGCAGTCTTTAGGGGCAGTTTGGGTATATCTAACACAAGAGAGGCCACTTTTGATATTGTTGGAGATCGTTGAGGCTACTTTAGGAATTTGTTGGCCTCTTGTGGAGTTGGAAACGTAGAGATTAGTTTGGTGTAAAAACAGGGTTTTCTGGCACAGAAATTGGCGATGGATTGGACCTGGATTTCTACGCTGACACGCACACAAAACACAGGCACCATCTTTTCAAAATGAAGTGAAGTTTTACCTGTTTTTAACCGCAGTAAAGACGAGGGTAAATGTGTCATTTTCATGAAAATTATGTGAATTTAAATAATCGTTAAAATCCAAAATAGTCTTATCAAAATTTCCATTACAATTTAAAATAAAAAACTTTCTAATATACCCACTCAATCAAATTATCTCCCTAATAATGTCCCCAAAATACATTCCTCTGCAACATCCCGTATAATTAGGGTACATTTGATTCCTGCGAAAATGTCTTCATAAAAACATTTCATGCCATAGAAGGCCTCATATCAGAGATAGGTATAGATATTTTTCATCCACGATAGAAATGTTTACTATGGAAATTGACCAATTCATGGGAAAACTTCATCATTCAAATGAAATTTTTTCCAAACGAATCAAACGATGGGAAAACTTCATCATTCAAATGAAATTTTTTCCAAACGAATCAAACGACGTTGACTGTTTTCAAGATTAGAACTGGGGTTTGGCCTGTTCGAACTAGTTAGGTCAAAACTAGTTGGTAAATTAAACAATGAAATAGTTATAAATAAAAAACAATAATTTTGATCAATTTTAACAAAATTTAATTTTCACTTGAGACCAGACCGATCACACGACAGTGATCCATTATTGAACAGTGTGCGGCCCCTCCTTCTTAAGTAGCCCTGGCCGAAATAATGTGCGAGGAGCATGGCCATCGCTTTTGTGATGTTACGCTCCCCTTGTAAAATAGGGACATTTTGATAATTTTGACAAGGGTACGTACCCTTACCATACTAGCTTTAAAGACGGATGGGCACCTGTACACCTCAGCAAGGTTTATGATTGAGACCGCCCCAATATTGACACGTGGCATATTATTACAATGTGTCCCTCTTTGCCCCTTTATTTTTCTGGTTTTTGTGTAAAAAAGATAATCAACAAATTACACTTTTTCAGACAAAACAGCTGCAATTGCAGCTAATATTTACATTTCCTTTTATCATTGGTCATCAGTAATATTCTCTTCCATCCTTACACTTTTTTCTCTCTTGTTCTCTCTGTTTCCTAGAGAGAGAGTCTCTCTCCTCCCATCACTAATGGGAACAATATACAACCATTAAAGAATTCCTAAACTACGGCCTTTTTTTCTCTTCTCTATTGTTTTACAAATATGAAATAATCAACAAATAGACACCAAAATTGCACTTTTTCCTTTTTATTTTTCTTCATGGCTAAATGAATCAAATGTGCCTCATTTGCTACTTGTCTTCAGTTGGATTTTGAAAAGATTGGGAGCTTCTCCTGCAAAATTTGTAATCTTCTCTCAGCTGGCAAGAGAGAGAGAGAGAGAGAGAGGAAGGGGGCATAATAAAAATCAATTAGCTAATGAACATCAAGTACTAAGTACAATATAGGATGTAAGTTTTACCTGAATCTTGGATCTGTGATTTCTTTGTCTAGCTCCAATTCCCAACAGGGTTCAGCTGGTTACATGAAATGTTTCATCTTAAGTAATAAAAAATATTTCCTTGACAAAGTCCCAAAAATTCAAATGAACATTGGTTATTTCCAATAGAGGAACATTGGTTTTCATTAGTTTACCTCTTATATCAGGGACCACAAATAATTTCATTGGATAAAAATTGAAGTACCACCTAACAGTAATTGTCTGTCACCCTCACCTGCCCTGTAATGTCATGACACCATTAAATCAAGATAAAGACAATAACAGGCCCACCTAATCTGAGATTCTTAACATAGTAATAAATTTTGAGAGAGAGAGGGGGGGAGAGAGAGAGGAACAGTACGCATTGAACAGATAACAAGTATAATATTTAAAAAGAAACAGTATATATTGAACAAAATATCAAGTATAGAATTGAAAGGAAACAGTACATCGAGTAAAAAAATAAAAAGAACATAAAACTGAGCTTACCATGGATGAAGGCAGGGACGAAAAAAATTAATGTGTTTAATAACCTCAAACACTTTGGGTTGAAGCAAAAAAATTGGATCCTTAACCAACTGATAACTGTTCTGTCGAACCCTGCAACAACATTGAAGAAAATCAAATTTGGAAGAAGGATGTCAGAGAGACATTTTAACTCAAATTGAAGCACAAGCATGTCTTTATTAGTTGAATGCCAAGAGAAAGACAACAATGGGATCGAGAGAGAGAGAAACAGAGAGAGAGAGAGAGAGAGCCAACCTCTTGGGTCCCGAAAGCCACATGCTCCATCCTAGAAAAAACTGAGCTCAGTGTAGCCATGAGTCTGAGGTAACAGTTCTTCAACTTGAATCCTAGAACTAGCACATGTCATGCTTCTCTTCATTCGACTACGGTTTACGGATTCAACCTCTGCCATGAAAATGCTATAAACTGGTCTATGATCTGAGAATCTCGACTCCCCACGAACGTAAGACGACTGATTTAGGCCTCTCCCATACCAGAGAATTCGGTCACACCTAATTAATTAAAAAAGTATAAAGTTCAAGAAACCATTATCCAAGAAAGACAGTTAATTCAACAATAGAAATCAATTCCCCACCAAATCTCTCTCTCAACAATATAAATCAGTTCCCCACCAGATCTCTCTCTCTCTCTAAAAAAAAAGGAGACATAGGAAAGCAATTGACATAAAAATCTTCATTTTAAAAATTACCATGCTGGTGTCCTTCTCTTCTCTTTTGTGCGCATGTCATCACCAGCATAACGATCAGAGTTATTGAGATACTTATAAGTGGGAGGAAAGTATATCCTCCCTTCGTTCCAACCCTCAAATACTCGACCACGTCTCTGTTCGATTCTAAGCTGATATAAAAGCATTCCTGTTTTAGTCCTACCTTGTTAAAGAAAAAGTAAAAGAAAGAAAGAACAAAAAGAATAACCCACAAGGTATCTATCTTTACATAAACTAAGCTGATAGACCCTAAAGGAAAAATTTGTTCTAGATTCACTTCTTTGACGATGGGCTTCATTGACAAACTTTTAAAGTAGAAAAGTAACTGTGAGAGAGAGAGAGAGAGAGAAAGAGAGAGAGAGAGAGATCAACAGACCTGATCATTTTCCAATAATGCTTTCCAATTGTGCATCTCGACCAATGCTTTTGCAGAACGATATGAAAGAGCAATACGATAGTTTAGATCGCCAAGCCATATAATTCGACTGAAAATATAAGTCCATCATTTGATCAGATACAGGAAAGCACATCAATAAGAACAAAGAAAAAACAGACCATCAAACCATGTCATATTCTAATTCAAGATGCCTAAGAGTAATTAGGCATATAATAAGAAAATGTAAATTGAAAAGCTTTCTTTAATGGAAAATTGAGAAACTATTTTTTTTTAATTTAACATCAAACAACTTACTCATGCTCGAGTATTGTTTCAGGTGAGTTTTCATCTCTAAGACCATGAACACGTGGAAATCTGGTCTTTTTTAGGATCTCCATAACATCTGCATTTCTCCGTAGCTCATCTCCCTCTTTCTGTCCTGAAGTCAAATGACTGCAAACGAAGCAGAAGCTTGTTTGGTGCACAGACATGCTCACTGAAATTGAACCCTGAAAACCAATTCCATGGATGCAATCACCAGAGTTAAAAAATCCAATTTGACTGATCCAAAAATCAACCAAGAACTAATTAATTTGAGAGAGAGAGAGCTCTGCTACATTCCCACATTTAAAAAACAGAGGCAGATTCATGGGCAATGGGAAATCATAAAAATGACAGTTTACCATCCTTAAAACAGGCAGAAAACTCCCTTAGAATCGAAGGAAGTAGCATTTAATAACAAATCGCTTAAAAAAATCATTGAAATTAAACATCCCAAAATCATCAAATTACCTCGTCTAATATGGCAACAACTAAAGTAGAGATAAAAGCAGAGCTTTCCTTATACACCCTAGAATGAGATTCAAAAGAAATATAGGTATATCAAAGAAAACTACCATAGAAAAACAATGTACCTTATTTCCGAGATAACCCATCAATCCTCTCCCGACGCAAGAAACTTTCAGGTTCCTAACATCATCTCTCAAATCACTCTTCACCCACACCGTTAAAAATATCCCGACCATCTGTTTACTTGCCACCAAACAGTACCTTGACTGACCATATGGCCTACTTTCTCTCTCTTCCATTGAACCATGACCACTATTAGACATTGGAGAGAAGAAAGAAGTCGAAGGAGAATCAAACCCTTCTCTCTCATCATCAGAGGAGCCCGATCTAATGGTGGTCTCATAATCACTCGGTCTATTTCCAAACATCACACGATCGCATACACTGAACCTTCGATCGAGCCTAGGTTGAGAAATTGGGGTGTCATTGTCCATCCTAAAGCTTCTACTTAAGGCTTGAAATGATCTTCTATGGAAGAAAGAAGTGGCCTTCTGCCTTGTTGAGCCTTCAAAATCCGAATCCAACTCAACAATTGGGTCAGGAGCAGGGGATGGCATGTGATATCCACCACCAGTCCCACTGGTTCCTGGTAGGTTATTGAGAGTTCTTCGAATTAAAGCGAGCCATTTTATGGCAGGGCCATTGTCCTCTGCTCCCAAAACATTCCCTGCATTTAGAGGGACGATTTCTTGAAACCTGAAGGAAAAGCCGGAACCAAAATCAGCTGTTATGCAATGGGGGAAGAGAGAGAGAGTGGGGGGTTCTTTAGGCCATACAGCACATTGTAGAGAGAGAGAGTGGGGTTTTTTAGGCCATACCCCTCATTGTAGAGAGAGAGAGAGAGAGGTTCATTTGAGCCTACCCCAAAACGTAAATATCAGCAGGGGGTGAGGTGTGAAGCCAGTCATCGAGATTGAGGTAGTTTGGAGGAGATTTTCCCCCAACATTCCATGTTGCCACAAAAACCCTGATCCATGACATGGTAAAAGTCAGCAAATAATGCTATATATATTAACTGAGATTTCATTGCTTTTCCTTTTCTTTTTCTCATTTTTCTTTTTTTTAGAGAAATTTTATCATGCAAGATAGATTGGATTTGAAAATTACCCAAAAATAAGAAAGAAAGAAGAAACATTGAAATCTAACAAATTCTCAGAGAAAATGGAGACCATGAAACAGAAAGTTCGTGAAGACTCAGATCACTGACTTGTAGTCATGTACATCAGTTATTTGAGTGGTATCGGGCTCGGTCTTTCCACGCCTGAGCTTATCTGTATTCTTCGTCTGCAATCTCTCTGCTAAAAAAAAAAAGAAATCACAGTAAATATGAAAATGCAGACTTAGAGAGAGAGAGGTTTCTTCAGAGTTCACTGAGCCCAGACCTGCCTTGTTCTTCTTGATTGTACAGGATTCTTCTCTCTCTGACCAGCTATTTCTCCAATCCCCACCTGAGATTTTCCACGGAAAAACCAGAAATTTGTATTTATTTATGTTCAAATTGTTATCCTTAGCGGGCTTATAAGAAAAAAAGAAATGAAAAGAAAGATGAACTTGAAACTCAAAGGGGAAAAAATGATTTTTGCAGAATAAGAGAAAAATCCCATCGTTTCCCCCTTCTAAATCAGACATTTCCAAACCCGCTATAGAACCTCTGGTTTCACCCTTTTTTGCATTTCTCGAAAGAAGCATTACACAATCAAACGCCCAGAGAGAAAAAAAAAAAAAAAAGAGAAAAAAGCAGACAGCAGTTTGAAATTTTGAAATACACAAAATCCATAATTTGTTGCAGAGAAAAACTACTACTTTTCCAAAATAGGGACCCTAAAAAAGAACCGTTTTATTTCTCTCTGTATGTATTTCTTGAAAAATGTAGAAGTCATAAAACAAACCGAAGTGACTTTTTCAAAGGAAAAGAGACAGAGAAATGAGGTGTTCACCTTCGGCTCCATAGGGGCTTTCATGAACATCATCTGCATGAAAGTCATGAGCTTTGCTCTTGATGTTGAACCACTTCCTAACCAGAGTCTTAGACCATGAGAGCTGAAGAGAGAGAAAACCCAAAAAAAATAAAAAAATCAGTGCCCCATTTCAACAAAATGCCATCTAGAGAGAGAGAGGTGAAGAGAGAAGTCATCAATGCTCTTGGACAAAAAACCTTGCTTTTCTTCTCGCTCCCATCTCTCATTGTTCCACTACTTCTTCTTCATACAGTCCCCCTCCTTCAAAAACCCACCTCTCTCTATAACTGGTTTTCAAAGTCTTTAGTACAGTTGCATAAGCTCCAAGAAAAGCACCTCCAGAATCCAAAAAACCAAAAAGAAATAACCCAAAAAGAAAAAGGAAAATAAAGAGAGCAAGAGAGAGAAAGAAGGAATGTGAAGTAGAGAGAGAATAAACGGATTGAGAAGAACAACAACAGGAAGAGGAAGAGGAAGAGGAAGAGGAAGAGGAAGAAGCAGAAGAAGATGACAACAAGACTTACAACCTCGTTCTCAGTACACAGCAAAGTATCGAATTTGAAGAGAATAAAGTGCAGGGAAGCTCTCTCTCTATATATATATATCACTTTCTCTCTCTTCCTCCCTCCTCTCTCTCTCTCTCTCTCTAGGCCCTTTTTTACCCAAATCCAAGTCCAAATAGAGAACATGGGGTCAGGTGATAAATATCACACTGTTTCTCTTTATAAAAAAACTGCCCGAGCTGCCCGTTTTGACCCCAACTTTCGACTTTTTGAACACACTCTTGTGCCCGCGGGCACCACCGTGTGCTGAGATTTATCGTAGCGAGTTTATGGGACCTCCGATTGGTCTTAGTCTCTAAAAACTCAACTAAGAGAAAGAAAAAATATTTGCCCCTTTCTCTTTCTCAAATGCCAAGAAGTTGAACACATCTTTTATTGGGTACCAAAAATACCCACGTTCAAAAACAAAAGGGACGATTGTACCCTTTCCCTTAGAAGTGCATGCCTCTTTATGACCACTAAATGGCATGTGCCCAAATATTAGTGATATAAGGCCTGATGCTAACATTATTAGAGCTACCAACTTTTGTATTTAGGATTAGATAGGGGTGGTAATTGGGTTGGATCTACCTGATCTAGGTTTAAACCCATATGTTGGACCCAGTGGATTTGGTTTGGTTCCATTTAATTTGGATCAGACCTGAGTAAGTTTTGGCTCTTGGTCTAGATTTGTCCAATTGCGGTTGGGTCTGGGTTGGAGTCGACCCAATTGAACCGGCCCCTATATATTCAGCAATAGTTTTATATATTATGATATCTATAGTAAATAATTTATATATATATATTTTTCGACCCAGACTGACCTTGACTAAGTGAGTGAGTTCCGAGTCCAAATGGAACTTAATTGGTTTGCGTTGATTCGGACCCGACCGAACCCAACCCATTTACGCCCAAAATGCTAAAGAATCATTCAAATTTTAGTGTAGTTAAGGCATGTGAATTTGTTATTATTATTGGGGAGGTGATATTGGCCATATTTGGAAGTTGGCCCTCATGGCTATTTTTGGGGAAAAATTAGTGTGGAGTAGAGATTAGCGAACAAGATTGGGGCATTCGTGTCATTTTCCATTGGTCTTGCATAGGGCTAAGTCGAAAAAAAAGGGTCTAAAGAGAAAAGCTAAAGGAGATGGAAGAAGAGGGGCTTCTTTGGAAGTTTGAAGGCGTTGGAATTGTGGGCCTCTTTTCCTATGTGTGCATATTTCCATGCTATCTTGATTTTGTTTATGAGTTTTTATGTTTGGGGAATGTTTGGAGATTTCACTTTTTTGTGGGGGTTGTGTTCCCCAAGTAGGGTTTCTTTTGTTTAGTTTTGGAAAATCAAGGGGTTGCTTTTATTCGTTTAGGAAAACCTAGGGCTTCTTGTCTGTAGCCTTCACACAATCGCAAGATACAACCATTCTCTCACTCTAGAGAGAGAGAATACTAGATTTTGCTTCTTAGTTTTTATTCAAAAGGAATTTAGGGTTGGATTTTCCCTTAAAAGGAAAATTGAGTTTAGCCATAAACCACATCTTAGAAGTGTATGAGCAGTGTTATTGAGACCGGACAAGATTGGCTGAATGGGACTTGGTCATTTTGTTTTCTCATAGTAAAAAAACTAATATTATATTAGTTTTGGCCACTCAAACCAATCAATTTCATGTAATTATACAATTATTTGTTATATTATTATTATTTATTTATTCTTTTAAAATAAACTGATCAAATTAATCCGATACGATTTAAGTTGGACCAAACTCTTTGAGTGCTTGAGGTGGTAATGTGCATAGGTGTGCAACCCATGCAACACATGGGTGAGAAAATATAGTCTCAATAGGCTGAATAGTACATAACCTTACAAACTTATAATAACGTAGACAGCCTGGTCACAAAGCTATCACCATGCAACATATGCGCCACGTGGACACCGATATACAAGTTGGGACGGCCGGCCACTGCTTTTGAGCGGGTGGGTCACATATTCTAGAGCCAAAACCCTGTTTACCGTTGTGAGAAAGTAGGGTTTGATAGTGAACTTTTATTCAAACATAAGCCTTGTCCCAAAATCTAAATGTTGCAAATGAGAGAAATCAGTTTTAAATGGAATTAATTTCTATACGGGCAAGTTTGCAGGTAGACCCTGCATCTCACACCTCTCGACTAAACAGTGGAGATTGTAGAGACACAATGGAAACTGTACAATATCTAAGTTGGGCAGCGCAGATGGCTGGATTTGAATGTGCCCCCACCCGCATAAAACACAATTCGCCATACTTAAAATTAGTGTTTGGTGTAGCTGCTATAAGGTACTTTATACTTTGGGGAATATGGGATTATTTGGATTTATGGTTTCTCACCTAGACCCAAAAAATTTACATGGGATTTTGATTTAAGATGTCTATGAAAGCCCTACCTACGTGCCTCAATTGAAAGCATACACTCTCCATGTGGGAGAATGGGTTGTTTCCCTCGGACTAGACTTGCATTGCATGTATCTAGGGTTTTGTTTGTTCCTTTGGACTCATTTTACACACCATTTTCCTCTTTGTGGGTGAATGTGCATACATTTCCCATTCACATTTTGAGTTGTAAAGATTGGGGCTTCGGTTTCGAGTTTGCCTTGGTTCTTGGCCTTCTTATTTTGACCTAACAACACATGCTAGCTTGTGGGAGACTGTGTTGCCATGGACGCATGGATCTATTTCTTCGATCATCTACATTTTAATTGAGCCAAAGATTCCATTCCATACGGTGGACCCCCCACAATCTCTCCCTCTCTCTCTCTTACACATACGTGCAAATCATAATGCCAACCATTTCGCGTTTGATTCAACCCAAATCTCCTCTCTTGGGAGATGTTTGAGAAATTGGTTTCATTCAACCCAAATCTCCTCTCTTGGGAGATGTTTGAGAAATTGGTTTCATGCCTAGGAAGCCATGAAGCTGGTTTCAGTTATTTTGTATAGCCGCATAAATATAACGAGATTTGTTCGGCGTTCTTTTCATACAATCTTTCAAAACCTGGATCAATGCGGCAGATCTGTATCGAGTCACTGGATCGGTCCGAATTGGTGATCTAGAAAATATTAAAATAAAATAAAATTGAGGTCTATGGGGTGGGATTTAGAGAGAACTTAAAAAAATTAGATCAGCTTTAGAAATAAAAAAGATAAAGATAAATAAAAGGGGTTTTAGAGGATAATCGGGTTGGAATCCATATCATCTAAGAACCGGTTCGGCCCCTACCAATTCAAATTAGAATCGGCGATTCATATTGGAAATCGTTGTGTTTTAAAACATTGCTTTCCCATGAAGTGAACATGAGAAAGTGTCATATTTAACAAAAATATCTTTTCCAAAAAGAAATTTCCCATAAATCAAACTTGCCCTAAAGGAATCGACAAAGATGGAGGTTTCCAAGCAACCTCATTATCTATCACAGAGTAATATGGACAAAGGAAAATTCCTTCATGAGTCAGTGGGTGCAAGAGCCCGCTGGCTCGCCAATGTCTATCTTAAAAAGATGGACATTATAAAAAACTCACCAGGTTTATACGGTGTAAAAATATTTTTTAAAAAATCACATTTTAAATATCAATATATATATATTTTTTTTCCATGTTATGATCATCTTAACCTAGATCATAAATCCCTAAAATTTTAGATTAGAAATCCATTTCAAAGATGATTTAAAAGGGGGTCCGCAGAGGTATGGTATGATTAGGCTGACTCATAGAAACCAATTGGCCATTGGGCCTAAAACATAAGGGCATGTATGTATGTGATAAGCATGATTCCATTTTTCGAAAAGTCAATATGTGGGGGTGCTTTGGAGAATTTGGGTGTTTTAGTTATTCGCTCTAATTATTCATAATTGAAACTTGTGGACCTAATCAAATGGGAATTTCAAACTCCATGATTTATGGGTGCAATGGTCAGTTATTTTACAGTTGGTAGGCAATTTGAAGAGTGAAATGCTTTTCACATCATATCCTTCTCTCACTAAGAGAGTGGATTTCTCTTTGTAGGGGTCCCTTCTCTCTCTCTCTCTAAAGAGTGGATATATTTTTTGGCGGAAGTTCCATTGATTTATTGGGTGAATGGGAGCACCATCTATCATGTTTCACTAGCAACAAGGAATTCGCTTTTCAAGCTTCAAATTCTAGAAAAATTTACATGTCCTTTGGGTCTATAAGGTGGGACACTAGGGGAAATACATAGGCCATAATGCATTTCCCAATCATGGCAAACTACACAATCTTTCTGAATTTGCAAAACAAGATAGCACAAATGGGAACCGTAAAAGCAGAGGTTGTTAGGCACCACTTGGAAAAGTGAAGCGACTTGTGCACCATATTGGACCAGTGGGTCCCTCAGTGGGCCCGGACCTAGTGAGCAAGCACCCGTTTGTGGGTCCGAGCCCAGGGCTTGGTACTTGTGAGCAAGCACCGGTATGTGGGTCTGCGGGCCCCTCGGCCTAGGACTTTTCTATGTGCGAGAGCACTGTCGGGTGGGTCCTAACCCTAGTGAGCATGCACTAGTATGTGGGTTGGGTTGGTCTGCCATAGGGGCATCCTCGACATTCACAAATTGTCTTGGTGGGCCAGCATGTCTTCTCTTTCTTTCCCAATACTTGAATGGACGGCTGAGATTAAAAGTGCATGAACACGATATTCCGGATCACCCATCCGACTGCTCGTGTGCATCGAAACATTATGTTGCAGCTTGACACCTTGATTCGGAGTGGTACTTATTGGGGAAAAAAATGGTATGGACCGCCCATCTAGAAAACCGATCTAGATCCGTGAATCAGTAGTTCGGATCATCATTTCGGTCGAGTGAATCGGCCAATATAAAATTTTTTAAAAAATAAAAGAAGATAAAAATTTGAAAAATAACAAAAATAAAAGGTGGGCCCGGAGTGGCCCGTTCCTTGACAAAACTAATTGATTCTATCCGAGAATTGAGTTTCCGATCTATGGTGGGAACATGACTGTCTCATCAATTCTCGATCCAGATCATATGATTTCAATTCAGATCGGCATTTTTTCGGACTATAGGACAAAGTACATGCATTTTGTTCGTCGGCATTATTTTATTAAA